CAAAGGCTGTTTGACCCAATGTCACAGCTGGAATGCTTCTTGACCAAAGGCCCATTGATCAAGCTAATGCGCTGGTTTAGTTGGTTCGAGTCAATGGCCCACTTGGCTGGTGATCTAATGGCAACAAAACTGATTCTCCTGGCTGATGCTGATGAGGAAGGTGGCTCTGCTGAGGAGGTTGAGCTGCCTAAAGATGAGCAGGACCATAAAAGAGAGCTTGCTGAACTGAAGAAAAGAAAGGGGACCTGGAAGTTGGCACCCTCATTGATCAATGAAAGAAACCTCACAATCAAAGATTGTGTGCTCTCTGTGGGCAAAGCCTGTTGGAAACACTTTGCTAACAGAGCCAGGGAAATGCTGTCTCCTGAACACATCCTGGAGTACAATGTGAGCTGCAGTGCCAGAGACTTCTGGTGCATGGAGCTGGTGGGCATGGTGACAGAGTCCTTGTGGAATCAGGAGAACATGCAGCACCTCCTGCCCAAGTTCAGAATGCATGAAAATGCATTGGTTTGGCACATGGACATCTTTGACAAGCTCTTGGAGGCAAGGGCCATGTCCTTGGCTTCCTTTCATTGCATGCCTCCTGCCCTGTACCACCACAGGCTCTCCCCCAACCCAGTTGAGGCCAGAGCTGCTCATGATTTGGCAGTCAGGCACTGGGGCTTTTTGCTAGATGCAGAGGAATCAAGTGTTGGTGGAGCTAATGTGGAATGCTTGGCCAGCATGCATTGGAGGCTGAATCCTTTGGTGAGGTGCCTGTTCATGGCCTATGAGCAGGATGAGATTCAGCATGTGGCAATGTTTGGCAACAGCCAAGCAGCCAAACTCCAATTGGTGATTGCCAAGAATCTAGGTGATTCCAGGCTGATAGAGAACACCCACCAGCATGGCAGGGATTTGTTCAGGTCACCCAAAGCATCTTCTTTCAGCAACCCTACCATTTTTGCCAATGCTTTCTCTTCTGGTGCCTTGGAAGAGAGACAGACCCCATGCGTGAGGCTGCAGGAGTCAGACAAGGCCCAGGCAAAACCTTTCAACTCAGCCCTTGGCAAGGGCATCAACAAGCAGCTGAGAAGCCAAGGCCACAAGCTGCCTAAGGAAATGCAGCAGATGATGGTGCCAAAGTCACCTGCCCACACCTGGCCATCTCCAGCACCAGCTTCCCTCTTTGTTTCAGCTGCATCTACTGCTTGGCTCTTTGCTTTCTATGGCTCAGCAGAAGATGATGCTATGAGGACCCAAGGAGTTGGTGCTGCTTGGCTGAGCTGCTTGGCCTCTGCTGGCTGTTTGGTGGCCCAAAAGTCCACCAGCAGATTGGTCAAGGTCATGGCCAGTGCAGAATGGGCCTTTCTTGGAATTGATGTGCTGGTGGAGGTGGATCTGTTTGGCAACAGGTCTTATGTTTGTGCCAGGAGCAGGGGTGCTGTTCAGTGGCACCATGTCTTTGACTTGGATGATTGGCTGGTGCTTCAGGTGGAGCCTTGCCTTCTGAACCAGCAGGGGCCACTGGGTTGGAAGACACTGGCTGAGCCACTTCCTTTGGAGTGCTTATGCTGCTTGGATGGTGCTGCCTTGACTTTTCTGCAGTTGAAGAAACTCATCAGGTACTTTGGTGGCACCATTAGGGGAAACCCTTCCAAGAAATCCCTCCAGATCCAGATCATTGAAATGCTTCTGGGTGAGGAGGACCAGGTGCAGGCCAAAGCCAATATTCCTGAAGAAAAGCGAGGCAGGCAGGCCAAGGATGACTGGGACAGTGACCTGTCAGAAGTCATTTCTGAGCTTGGGCATGATGAAGGTAATGCCCAAGACCTGAAAGAGTTCAAGGACAAAAAGAAAGCCAGGAAGGTCCAGAAGAAATTGGAAGGTGGGGATGAGGTGGTGGATGGCAAGAAGAAGAAGGGCAAAGGTAAAGGCAAAGGGAAAGGGAGGGGGCAGGGCAAAGGCAAAGGGAAGGGCAAGAAGAAGAAGAAGGTCAAGAATTTTTTCTCTTCCTTGCTCAACAGGGCACAGCAGCAGAGGATGAAGGAGTTGGCACAGGAGGAGGAGCAAGAAGGTCAGCAGGCACAGCCAGAGGCCATGGAGGTAGAAGACCTTGAGGGGGTGGGTGGCAAGGCGGACCAGGCAGAGGACATTGCAATGCCACAGGTAGAGGTGGAGGATGAGGGCAAGGGTGAAAGCCCAGGGGCTGAAGGTGGGGAAGCTGAGGTTGAGGCAGCACAGGAGGTGCAGGTAGATGAGCCAGCCAGAGCTTCAGGTGAGGCAGCAGGGCCATCCAGGCCTGAGATTGCAGAGCCAGCAGGACCATCCAGGCCTGAGCCAGCAGCATCATCCAATGCACCACCTCCACAAGAAGACGAGCCACCTGCCAAAAAGAAAAAGTTTTACAAGAGTCCAGATGAAGTGCTGGAAAAGCTTTGCCCACCTGGTGCCAAAATGACTTTGAGCTTCATGGACCACAGGTGGAAAGTCAGGTGGCTGCAAGAGGAGCCATTGTTGGAGGGAGACCTCAAGCAGCTGTCCTTCAGCAGGTCTTTTGGCACCAAAAAGACTTGGGGTGTTGCCTTGAAGGAAGTGCACACCTATGCTTGGAAAAAATGGGACAAGCTGAAGCAGGGTCTTCCTCTCCCAGCTGGCCAGGAATCACAGGTGGGAAAGGAGATCCCACAGGACATTTTGGATGAGTTGAAGCACTCAATTGGCATCTTGCCTCCAGTGACCAGGTACTGAGCAGATCTGAGCAGCCATGACCAAGAGTGGAACAGGCATGAGGCTTTGCCACATTTGAATCTTTTTTGAAACCACTCTTGCTTGGCTATCCCTGTTGGCTGCCATCACTCATTTGAAAGAAGTGGCCCTTTGAATTTTTTCAAGGCAGCATGTGGAGACCAGGTCTATTGGTAGCGTAGCTTTTGGTAGAATGAGCCTTTCACCTGGTAGTTGGAGCCGCAAGCGAGCGCCATTGGGGGCAAAAAAGGGCTGCTGACTGGAGTGCCTTTTTGCTTTCAATGAGCAGATGCTTGCACATATCCTGGCTCCACATCTGTCAAATTCTAAAGGTGAACAAGGGAGGTCACTCAGGTGAAACAACTTACCCTCCCTCCCCTTTCTGACCCTGCAGCTGGTCATCAAGAGCTGCCATTGTTGTTTGGGGGCTTGCTTGAAACAACCTACCCTCCCTCCCCTTGCTGACCCTGGAGCTGGTCACCAAGAGCTGCCAGTGTTGTTTGGGGGCTTGCTTGGTGCCTTGCACTACTGTTTCTTGCAAGCTGTGCCTGGCACCTTGCATGGTTGCACCCTTGTGGCACTGCTGCTTGTGAAGCCACAGCCTTGCCAGTGTGGGAGATGGTAATTAATAATTACTGTTTCTTGCAAGCTGTGCCTGGCACCTTGCATGGTTGCACCCTTGTGGCCCTGCTGCTTGTGAAGCCACAGCCTTGCCAGTGGTTGTGGCCAGCTGTACTTGGAACCTTGCATGCTGGCACCCCTTGGGCAACACTTGTGCATTTGATTTGGCTTTTGCCCTGGCACCAGTGCCATCCTCACTGGAAGCATGTGGCAATGTGCTTAGTGCTTCACCCTTGTGCACCCTGCAACCATGTTGCTATAGCATGTCTTTGTAAGGTCACACATGTCAATTTTATTTTAAGCATATTTGCTGTTACATTAGCAGTCAAAGAAAGAAGCAGCCCTACCCAGATGCAACCAAAGAAAGAACCGATCCCAAACTTTGTAAGCTCACAAAAATAAGAAACTCTCTTCAAGACTTGGCATAAAATGTGGAGCCAGGACTAGGCCATGTAACATGACATGTGCCAACACTGTCTGCTGCCACCTTCAGGTTTGATGTTGCTTGGATTTTGAAGTTCCTCACTGCAGTGAGGGTTGAGGATTCAGGGGGTTGTGCTCCATGGTGTGGAACCACCTGACTTTAGATATTAGTTAGTGTGCCATTTTTTTTGGGAGGGTGGGTCTTCTGAACCCATACCCAATGTTGGGCCACATGAGACTTTTGCCACAGTAGATGGCAGGTGCAGCTTGGATGTAACCTGATGATGACCTGGTCTTTTTCGTCTGTGAATTGCTTCCCTTATCTAAGGTGACTTCGATATCTACACCCTTTGGATATGGCAGATGGACAGCTGATGGACTTTCAATCTTTGGACAAAAAATGAGACAGCTTGAGTGCAGGGTTGGTGGGAGGAGAGTCATTGATGTCAGGAAGAAGGATTTCAGTGGTTTTTTGAATGTTTTTTTAGCTATATTTAGTTTTTCATAGCTTTATTTAGTATTTGCATGGATTTTGTTAGATCCCATTTTTCCCCTATATTGTTCAGAGCGACCCTGATCAAATCGACCCTACACCAGTCTTAATGAAATATGATGAACGAATGTGAACGAGGTACTGGACTTGCAGTACCTAAGTTTCAGATTAAGGTTCTTGTTGTCGGAGAATCCAATGCAGGTTGGGAACCAGGGTTTCACGCAACAATCAACAGATCATGTTTTGCCAATCCTTGAACTAAGCATGGGTTTGAAAGTGTCACTGAACAGCTTTGAAGAGAAGTTCAGACAATAGACACCTGCGTGCATGGCTGATTTTAATCTGTGCACATGAATTTATAAATCACTTCATACAAAGGTTCTAAGTCTTACAACAAAATGAATCACAGCAAGCATTTACCCAAGTCTAGCCTTTCGGGCATAATGAATCTTGAAACCTTACACTAATAAAAGATAATAAAAGGATGCATTTCATATGATATTTGGTCAAATTATAGTGACTTCACTGTTCCCTCACCGGAATCACGGTTAGGTCAGGTTTCGGGGGATCATCCCCAGATGGCCGCAAGTTTCAGGTTCGTGAAATACTATGAAATATAATATATAGTGTGAAATATTATAATTTCCCTAGGAGTATTGGGTTTACAAGTTTGCTATGTATCTCGGGTTCCCCAACTGTTGCGTTGACACGAGATTTCGGCATCGCTGCTTCCAGGTAGCTGTGGGTCGCTGGGCCAAGTGGCGCGTTTATGTTGGATGGAGCCTGGACGGAGATGAGTCTTGGGGTTTGACCCTGCTTTTGCCCTCTGGTAACATAGCTTTGGAATGCTTTGGAAAGGCAACAAATTTTGGTAGATTAGATAAAACATCTATATAGATAATGATGATCATGGGAATTTTCAGTAGCTATGTTAGTTTACCAAAGGGTAGCAGGGAGAGATGGGGATACTTTTGGTAAGTTGACATGGATGGCAATGGAGAATCCTCACTTTTGATGGGTCGATATGGGATAATCATGGAAGTAAATTGTCGAATTTCCATCGCTAGGCTGAATAACTGGAGGGATCTGGAGGGTATGATATATATATATATATACACAATATACCTGCTGCCCTGCTGGGCAGCTTATTATAGTACATCTTGCTAATAAACTATCTTTTGGTATTTTTGGATCAAAGATCGTCCCTGAACGGATGTTTACGTCCATGTTGGTATGTTGTCTGCAATTTACGTCCATGAATGGTATTTAACGTTCATGTATTGAGTTTCAAACATATACCTCAAAAATGATCAAATATGCCCAAATTCAGATGCATATATATGTTGACATGCAAGCTGGAACTGCAATCAAAGATTCCCATGGAAATCACACAAAACAACCCATCCTTCCAGGCCCATCTCCTTTCCCCTTAACCTCTTGCCCACGAAATTTGAATGTGAGCTTGATAGCGCTCAAAAAGCCTTTGGCTTACCAGGCGAGGACTCACCTCGCGGGAAAGAGCAGCTACCCGCCCGATGAAATCCTCATCTAAGCTGCACGAGTGTACAGCGGGATTCAAGATATAGGATGCCATTCTGCTTTGACGTCGCATCTCATGGGCAGTCTCATGGACCCAATGAAGTTTTGGATACAATCCAAAGTACTTCAACCCCAACTTGTATGAAGCAGCTGCTTGGTAAACATACGACCGTACAAAGCTGTACAAATTGTTTGCAAGGTCAGCCCCAATTGCGCTCTCCATAAACACATCTTGCGAATAGATGCCCCTCATGAACTTGTTCAAACATTCAGTAGCCAGAGCCTGGGCCATCCAGGGTAGATCAACAAGTATAAAGGAAGAATCAAAAACTATAACATTTCCAAACCAAGTTTCCAAGTGGGTCATCCTCTTAAAAAGTTTCAAATATATAAATGCAAACTGGAAACGAAGTTGCGCAAACGCTCATCTCCTTGTATCTCTTCCCAGTGTTCTTGACAAAATTCACCCAAAAACATCATCCAGTTGCTGGTTACGGTGGCTTTGCTCCAGGTTCCAATCGGTTCTGTAGCTGCACCAAATGTGTGCACATCGATCTTTCTCAGGATTGGGTCAAGTTTGCGTTGTTTGCAGTAGGCTTTGTACAAAGCACCAAAGTTTGCAATCCTGTCCTCTTGGTTGCTCCCCGGCAAAAATCTTTGTAGCATGAACATTCCGCATGCAGTCCATGTTTTCCCTATTCCAAGGTGGATGCAATGCCAAGGATCTATACAAAAGAACCGGCTCTTGCCATTCACTTCAGCATCAACCAGCAACAGACGTGTCATAGCTGACTCACGGTCCCATGGTTGGGGAAGCACATCAACAAAGCTTTTGTCCATTGCTGCATCTGCTGCATTCCTGGGAAAGGCGAATGATTGTATACATATAAAGATATGCATGCACTATAATGCATGATGTAGATCTCAGGTATAGTTTTATATGACCTGGATGGACTATATATATAAACAGCACCCAGCAAGGCAACAGATAAACACACAAAAAATGTAGTTATATAAAGCGCAGTCATAGTGACAGGTCTTCCCAATCAACACCCTGGCCGCACATGCACAAATGGCAGACGCCACCCCCAGTAACATTGTGGTCACCTTCATCTCCGGCTCCTTTTGGTGCTCGTCTGTATGATCTCTCCAAGTTTCCACTAGACACCTGATTCGTTTTTCAAGACACTCACCAAGTGCTTTATTGTTTTGGGGGCTAGCCAAAAAGAAAGAATGCCGCAATTTGCGTTTCTATATAAACTTGATTTCACAAAAGATATATAAAAAAAAGTATTGATAAATCCAACCAAAAAACCAAATAGCTCCAGTCGCCTTTGTTTGCCAGGCATATGGGGTAAATACGTCCAGCACTACCCCCGACATACACACCATCCCTTTCACACATTGCGAGGTCTTGGCTTGCAATCTCAAACATTGCATTCCAGATGCGTCTGTCGTCCTGATAATGGTCCTGTACAGGGCCAGACTGGGCATAGAAAGAACGATGGGCTATATGCAAACAAAACCATGCAGGGCAGCAGATAGAATCAAACAAAAATAAATCACTCCATGATAGCACACAATATTAAAACATATTAAAACTATATGATGCACTGGGTGATTGTATAATTCACAAACACTCCTTGGGGCACACCAAAATCAGCATGCGAGTTCGAAAGCCAGTGCGAAGAAAATTGATTGGGATTGATTGTCCAGCGTTTCCATGTTTTTTCTCCAAGTCTTTGCATCTCTTTGAGGAACCGTAACCAATGACGCCCTGGAATGACAAAACTAAAAGTCCAGACTTCCGATAGTGAACTCCCTCGTCTCCATGTAGAAACAGTGGGATACATTTCTTCAACTCCTTCCCCTTGGACTGCACATCATCCCAAAGCTGGTGCTTCGGGAAAAGTCTTCGGAATCTAGACCAAAAGGTAAGTAGCATACCCTCAGCTTCCTCCAACGTATGACCCCCAAGAAGATGGGATATATCGTTGTTTTTGTACATGGCTTGGATGAAGTTTGATGGTTTCAACCATGTGAACCCACTCAAGGGTGGTGCTTCTTCTGTGGTCAGCTCTACAGGGTAATAGAAGTTGTGCAAACGAAAGGCAGCACTGACTGCTTCTTCCTAAGTGAATGTTGTGATGAGAAGGGAAAAGATGGTGGTACAATCCCTATAGTCCATAAATATGATGGTGATTACACATGAACCTATATACGGAAAGAAACATGGGATTATTTTCCATTCATGGTAGCCCGGTAGAATTGCATGGGAAACATATTCAAAACTGATCGATAAAAAAACAGTTTTAAACCACACAAGAGTCTGACTTTTTGGGATCCGCCTTTGCAAGACAGGAAAGAACTGGGCAGGGACTTGAGTGAACCCCGTCGGCCACGTCAGCCATCTCCGCAGCTGCAAAGGCAATGATGTCAGTGCATTTCTCCTGAGACATAGCCACGGGACGTAATGACCAAATGGGCTCTGATAACACATGTTCCTTGTTTCCATGCTTGGACTCGCATCATCTTGTTTGGATACTATATAACTATATATATATATAGGTTTGCATGGAAATTGCCATGAATGGTAGATAGCTCAAATGTATCCAGGTCAAAGCACTGAATGAATATATATTGATTGCAAAGTAAAAAAATGAATTTCATCACATGTTTGAACCACATGTTTGAACATGGTTTGGAGCCAAGCTTCACCCCGGCTATACCTCCATGCCTGGTGCTTAGCCTTTTGCGAAGGACCTGGCATGTTGCGCTTGGTTCCTGCCCCCAAAAACAAATATATGTATATAAGATCGATATATAGTCTGATATCTGACGTGGGTATCAGAAAAAAATATATAGACATAAACGGGTTGCCATTTCGAACCCATGCAGTACTGCTTTGACTGTTTTGATCACTTGCCAATCGCTTCAAATCTGTCAGAGTCGTGGCTGCTATAGCCGCAGGATCACAGTGGTGATTTGTTTAGACCACAGTGAATTGGAATTAATAAAGCTCTGTATGCGTACATTCCCCAGTGCATTGAGAGCTGGGCAGACATTGCCACGTGGTTCTCCACATGTTCAGAGTTTCCCCAAAATGGTGCCCACACATGTTGAAAGTTTCATGGAAACAGTGTTGAAACACAAAAACCGTATATATCGATAAAGTTTGGAATATCATTTCAATTTTAAGTTGCATGGGCTTTGACAAATGATCATCCAATCTCACTTGGACGCTCAGGCCACTTTCTGGCGCTTGGATCTCTTAGCCTTGGCCTTTGCAGACGAGGCCGTCGTGTCCTCTTCTGGGGCACTGGCTACCTGGGTCTTCTTTTTACGTGGCACACTATTCTTCTTGGAAGGGGTGCCCTTGTTTTTCTTCCCCTTGCCTCCCTTGCCCTTTGAGCTGGGAGCGGCAGGAGACTTATTCTTATTCTTGCCCTTCTTGTCCTTGGAACTGCCACCAATGCCAAGATCTTTGCAGAGTTGCCTGGCGAGGCCACCAATGATATACCAATGATATATAGGATGTAATTGACTATATAATTGAGTCAATGGTCCTGCATATATAATGATGTCTAAGCCATCCAATGTTCGATGGAACATATCGATGGATATAACTATCAAATTGTCAAACCAGGTTTGATCTTCCAAGTGCTGGCCTGTAGCGTGCTTCCAAAGGAATCAGGGCGGAGCACCTAAGATGGTTGCAAAAATAAAATTTATGAACGCTGTGAATGTAAAACCATGTATGATGAACACATCCCAGTCCGAAAATAGTAGAACCCATGTTGTACCAAGATACTGGTTCTTGACATCAAGCTTTTGATCAGCAATATCTTTCAAAAGCCTTATTGGCAAGTTGATCGACCCCAAACAAGAAGAGTGGATGCTACACAACTTTTTGGTGGTCTATGCAAAGCAAACATGCAAACATTTTTTAACGCAGAACCTGCATGGTAAGAATCATCTTCATTCATTGTGGTGGTCTCTTGAAAGACCTCCACACCAAGTAGACAAGATAGGGGCCGTCCAAGTGAGACTGGATCGTCTCCCCTCCATCACGGATGTTCCTGCAACCAGAAGCTCCTAAGCGAGGGCCAACTGATGGCAGAATACTTTGAGTATCTTTTGGTCTTATTCCCCAAAAGTGTATATAAAACAGTGTTTGATCCCCATGGATATTTTGGCAAGAAACCCTTGAAGCGTTGGATAAGTGCTCCTTCCACATAAGCAGGTGAAATGGTTTCCGAGGCTGCGTAGATCACAAGCAGCTTCTCCCATTTGTCGGGGGCACATTTGTATCCAAACGTTGTATTGTGCCATCGAAAATGGGCACAATGTGTATACCCGAACTTGTAAATACATGGAGCTTGCGCAGCAAGTACTTGATCAGCTTTGTCAAAGCAATACTTGAGAATTTGGCCAGCTAGCATTCCAGGTCGTTTTGGTAAATCATAGTCCAGTTCTGGGTCAGCTTCAATTTTCTCAAAGCACTCCCGGGTCCTTTGAAGAGACAAGACCTTTGCCTCCAGGATGTTGGACCAATGATGGCGATGCTGCACTGGTCTCGACGGTCTCGAAAGGACTGGCAAGCGGCGGGATCATGAAGGATGATCAGGGTCTATATTTATAAGTTAGAAGTGGCTGCAAACATGTTACATCATGTTACATCTGTTTGGGCCCACCTGGGTGATTCTGAATCACCAGTTGAGGTTGATCAACTTTTGCCTGACCCGGCAAGATGCTCTATATATTCATGCATGTTATGTTATAATGTTTCTGTCATGTGATGGTGAAGATATTCATATATTTGTCAACATGAGGGCCTCGCGATTGTATTGCAAGAGTTCTCGCAGCCAGTCTTCCGCATCATCATCATTCATGTGGTCGCCACGCATGACGGTGTTGGATCAAACGATAAAACCCCATTCCAAACATAACCCCTATTTGGCCTGAATTTGATCCAATGTAGCTACATATACTCCATGCATTTTTTTCCATGCTGGGTCTGGTAATGAACATGCAGTGAATGGTGCAAGAACCATTTGGATAAGTATAGCATGACGTGATACCCCAAATTGGCTATATACCAAATTGGTTATAGTATGTTAATTATAGTTATATATAAAAACCAAGCAACGCAGTCAGTCGTTCACTGGCCAAAGCTCCTTCACGATGGTCCAACTTCAGCTCGGTCATGTATTCCCCAAACTTTTCATAGCTCAACTCCATTTTCTTCTCCAGGTCACTGAAACAACCAACTAACCTGATACAGTGGGAGCATATTGGAGACCCTGTTTGGATGGAAAGAATGGCTTGCTGGGTTGTTTCATGGAAATTTCAAGTGAGATAAATTCTACATAGATGCTGTTAAAGGACTTCTTTGCATTTCCATCTTCACTGTCTTGCAACTTCCCGATCATGGTGTGCAAAGACTGTTGCTTGTTCTCGAGGGATCTCATGTAGGATTCCAAGTCGGCCACAAGGCTGGCCAGGGATTTGTCCATATTTAAGGAGGTATATAGCATGCATGCAAATGTCACCACATTATTTTATTTTATAGAAATGATGCACAAGGTGAACCAACATTCTTTTCATAGAGTTAAATTTGAGAACATGCTTACATAGCCAACACACTGTCCTGGGATCCGACAACCTCCGGCTTTGGCACAGGATCCGGGAAATTGACCAAGTTCTCAGGCAAACCAGGTGGAGGTGCCTTTGCGACTTGATCCTGGGAATGGCAAAAGAAGGAATGGACAATGCATTGTTGTCGATCTAAACTTAAAGTTGTTTTGAAGTGTATATAATCTCTTACAAAGGGGACATCCATGCATGGTCCGGTATATATATAGTTATATAATGTTATATATATAGGATCAGGTTGGCGCTCAAAATGTGCTAAGTTTCATCGAGCTCTGTCTCGTGTCGCTCCGCCGTGGTGTCTTCCTTCTTGTGCAGCGCATGATCATCCGTGATCACGAAATACTCAGAAACTTTGTCATCGTATTTCCAGGCCCTGAAAAAAACTGCTGTTGGCAAAGGGTTGGGCCCCAAAGTGACTCAAAAAGTTGAGAGGATCAAAAACTTAACCAATGATGTTATATATATAATTATATATAAGGTAGCTCATCAACTTGAACATGAATAGCAACATCCCCTTGGGCCCCCACCGTACAAGGCTTTCCGGGAATCTGGTGCAGTAGGCCACCATCGATTTGATGGACTTAACTGAAAACTGCTTGCGCATGGCTTCCTGGGTCATCCACTTGCCCTTGACCTCCGTCTGCCGGCTTTCCAATCTCTCACGGACAAGGCGACACTTCGTCACAAAGTCTGCCTGCAGGCTGATTTTTTTAAAGGTGGTATATATAGTTTGGACCATGTGGGTAGAAGGCTTGACATATATAGAAAGGAATGTAGAATCAGAATTCATAAACAAATTCACCAGAAGCCCAATGACCTTCACTTTCTTGTACGATTTTCTTGAGACCCCGTGTTTTGCCAGACATTCTAGCAGGGCCATTTCCAGCAGCTCTCGGGATTCTCCTCCGGTTTTGTATGCCTCAGCCGTGGCTGAGTCCACGTTGCAGCGACCGGTCGGTTTGCGTTCACACATTCTTCTTGCTCTCATTCGAAGAGCGTCAGAAGTGATGTTCACCTTAGATCAACTGAAATCTGCATATATAGCATGCATGGGCATGATGGGGTATAGTGTGTATATATGCACATTTGTTGATATCAACAAATATACACCTGGCTTTTTATATATAAATGTCAATCAAAGTAACTCGTTGACCGGAAGGTGTTGTGACCCATTCATCGTCATCATCATCAGATCCTTCGCTTTCAGACACCTCATCTTCAGGAGAAGGCTCAGGAATGCCCTTGGGTTTCTCTGACGGTTTGGCAGTTTGAGGAGACACTTCCTTGGGCTGGTCAGCTGGAGTCACTGTTCTGGCTTGCTCTGACATCTTTCCTTCAAGGTTCTCAATCCTATTCAGCGTTCTTTCCAACAAAGCTTCCATCCGTGAGGTTTCAGCTGGAGTTGTTGGGGCTGAGGGCACTGAGTGTACTGAGGGAACAGGTGAGGTTTGCATGGCAACCAAATTCTCAAGGTGAGCTATCTTTTGCATCAACTCGAAGTTCTTCTGCTTTTCAGCTGTGACTTCAGCATTCTCGATCTGGACCTTGACAGGGCCAGTGTGCTATTGACATGACATGCATATATATATATATATATGCCATGGTTTTCATGACAACTGGATGTGAAAAAATATATTATGTGAATCATATATAATATATACATGGTCTGTGTGTACTTGGAACCTGTGGTCGCATAGCCAGTGGATTTGGTGGGGTTGCAGCTTTGTGAACATGGGCAGGCGTAAGCTGTGGCGCAGCCACAGGAGTACCAGAAGCATTGTTGGCGACATCCCTGGGGCTACCTCCAATATCCTCAGAAAACGATGGGCAGTTTATGCAACCATGTATGATCCAAACATATATTTAAACCTAGGATCCGCTGGGATAGTCTCGGCATCCGGTGAAGACTGATTCCCACCATTGGATGAGTCCTTAGATACTATATATATAGTTTAAGGAAAATGTTCACAACCATCTCTGTGAATATGTTCAACTGTTTTACCATCCCAGACATAGGAGTCACAGCCGGTGCCAGGCGTGGTGATTTCGGCTCCTTCTTCACTGACACTGGCTTCTGGGTAGCCTGGGCTGAAAGTGCAGTGGATGTGAGATTCAAATGAATGAAAATGAAAGGGTTTTTTCTTATAACATAGGACCTGTCTCGATGGACTTGGGAATGTATATATAGTTCTGCATGTCTCATATATATCTGAATCAAACACTTTGGTATAGCACAATAGCTGCAGCCAATGAACTTGGTGTTGTTGCTCACAGGCCTTCATCACATATAGGGCGACCTGCCCAGGTTGTGCACAACTTAACATGGCATATTCTGCTATGACACTACATGGTGGTTTCCTGTACCATTACAAGTTCCAACTTCCAGACTTGAATCAAGAAGCCCAGAAACCAATATATGACTATATATAGATTGAAGTTTGAATAAATATATCACCGTGTCTTTTTCTAGATGTAGAAACCCATGTCCCAGCCTGTGACATTTGGTCTGGCTGAATCGAAAAAACAGCCATCTGCGCTGCAGCAGCTACCCCTTGTTGAAGGGTTTCGCAACTCCAGCCATTGGATGGCATAGAGCTGACCAAGGAGTCGCCCGACATGTTCACTCGCTACCCAAGATCCCTAATCACCTAGAAATGGCTATAATGACTCGATCAATGGACACCAAAATGGAACTATGAAGTCAACATGAACCATATCAGGTATCACTATATACTTGCATATGTTGCTAAGAACCGTTCAACAACACAATAGTCACAGTGACAATGGGCATTGGTTCAAAACACTTTTGCTTGCAACCGCTCAGGATCATGGTTCATACCACGAGATTTCGCTGAAATTCATCAAAGTATGTGTCACAACACCCTGGGGTCCAGTGAATGTTGATTATTTTCGATCAATTTACCACAAAAAACAACATTTCCCGAGTTGACCAAAAAAGTTGAAAAAAAAAGCTGAAAAATTACGTAATTTTTACGTAATTTTTGCGCAAATTGAACGTAATTGAACGTAATTTGAACGTAATTTGAACGTAATCCGAACGGTTTACGGATATTAACGTCCCTAGAACGGTTTTTTACGTCCATGTTTGAAACCTGAAATTATAGACTTTTTGGGGTTTTGGTGGATTTTCCCCATTTTTCTCAATTTTATATTGGTTTCGTCTACAATGATCAAAGCCAGTCTTGGAAGAAACATGAACCAGTATTGGATACCATGTGTTCCCAGGGTGTTCAGGCACAAAGCCTTAATTGGCCAGCAACGGAGGCAGCCTAGTGTCTGTTGGCTGCCCTCCGTTCTTCCAAGCGATGAAGAATTTCAAAAGGTTTTGGGAAAATGTTGAGCCAGGGCTCTGGAATTCGCAACCCCTTGTTTCCCCTCAGGTATTTGAGACTGGAGAGAAGCTTGGCTTCATCCCAGGTTTCCCAGGGGAGCATCTCGAAAACATGGTAAGGGTCTGCAGCACTGTCAATCTCAGGGATACCCTCAGCGCCAGTCACCAGGGAAGGGAAAAGGGATTTGATCTTGTCAGCGAAAGCTGGAGGGTAGATCCTCAGCCGGTACCCCAAATATAAAAAACAGAAGATCCTGAAATGAATTGGTTATCCATGCATGGAATCAAGTATATCAAGAGAAGATAAGAAACAAATGAGATTGGCACTGGGTGTCTTTCAATTTTGAAGTGCCACTCCATGAGGTCTTTCCACTTGTCTTGGAAATGGTTTTCTTCACCGTTTGCACTTTCTGGGGTTGACCACGCTGAAACTCCTTGTAGTTGAATTTACCTTTGTTCACGTGGCCAAACATCTTGTTGTTACAAATCCCTCGTTGGGGCTTCGCAGAGCTAGCACCATAGTGCCCCATCCACCATCGGATTCCATATGCCTGAGCAAGCCGGAAAACCAAGGAATGAAAACTCGAATATACCATTTGGGGATCAACAACTTCTGCATGGATGAAGGCTTGGTTGGTTGAAGGGGGCACCATGGGACACCCATCAAATCAAATAGTTGATCGAAGAGTATATATAATAAAATGGAAATACATTATTTCCTATATATAGAACATTCAACTATATAGCCATGGTACTTTGGTCATTGTGAGGAACCACTCCATTCGGAAGTAATGGAACATACAACTGCTCTGTGGCTGCTCCAATAGCCACGAGCCACCACATGCCACGACCAATGCCAGTAGCAACACACACCTAAGTCATTGGCGTGTAGATTCATGGTGGGGCCCGGAATGATATAAGCATATCCCCTTTGGCCATCATTTTACATGGATGCAACCAAAAACTTGAATTAAATTTGAAACAAGAATCCTTGACATCATACAGTTCGCTTCACGAATGTAAGCTTTGGAGGTGTCTCCCTCTGGCAACAATATGGAGCGTTGGGATGTGAAACAGTTGATACGTACCCAACTTGAGCATACCGTAGCCCAAATTGTTGCGAATGATTCAAATCGGCAGCAAAGAATCATATGGATGTAGAGCCTTAGTATATAAACCAAGAGGGGTGATGGCATGTACCCCAAAAATGTCACATTGGACTCATGCACAACATCACTGACTCTGTTTTCATGCTTTGTTTATATAATTGAAACTGCATGCAATTTGAAAGCAGAAAAACGATACTGGAGACTAGGTTCCCCACCCCATTCCCGCATCACTCAATATATCAAAGGGATTTTGATGATTCCCATGACCATCTGGACCCATGAACTGTGAGTAGCGAATACCAACGCCTATGGAGCTGATCGAGTCTGCCCGCATCATCCGCCATACATTGCCTTCCCCAGCGAAAAACTCCAGGAATGCAACGTCCTGCGCAATGGGAATGCAGAGGAAGTTTCTTGGCTTATGGGATCTGGAAAACCTAAATAGTGGGAACAATGTTTTTTAATCCTCCATGGCAATAAACAACTATATGGAACATCCATGCTTCAATGTTTGGATTGATTCTCATTTACTTGGCCCCTGAATCACAGATTGAAGGAAAGGGATGCAGCTGGATGTGTCCTCCGTGAAGGAGGGAAAATTCTTGGAAAATGCCACCAGCAAGACCATCCAAATAAACGCCTGGGCTCATACAAGTGAAATGCGTATACCATTGATTTCACACTTGTGTGGGTCACAGAAGTTGGAAGGAACCGGCAATACCTGGTGGATGAAGCTCATACCCCCAAGAAAATATATACCCTAAGGGATATATCGAATATTTTGACCCACAAATCAAATATAGAAGGACGCAATTGGTTATATATGATTATATATATGTACCATATCATATGGAAGGATATATGTGGGTATATATTTGGGTATATGACCAAATTTCAAATGCATTGTTTTGGCCATGGCACTTTGGGAATTTGCATTTTGGCCAACCGTAAAACGACATCCCCAATCTTGTCCCTTCCAGTGGCCATGGCTGCTGGGCTTGAGGTCACGAATGTTGTACTATGTGTTTGATGTTGCACTATATTGCATTTTCATTTGGATATGCATTGAAGTTTTCACACCCTTGGCTTCTACCATTCCTGGTTTGAACCAACAAGTGTGGAAGCAGCATGTGGAAGGGCATAGGTTGATATCCACAAGCATGTTCGAATGATCTTTCAGTCTATTTGTTTCAACCGTTTTTATTTTCTGAATCGAGTTCATGGCACCAATCAATCACCCATTGATGATGATGATGATGATGATGACGATGATGATGATGATGATTATGATGATGATGATGATGATTTCGCAAATCTATTTATATGCCAAACTTATAAAGAACCCACATGCATGCTTTCCAGGATTAGGTACAACTGGCCTCCTCAAACCACATGCATGCATTACCCCATGTATATAAGCGAGCCCGGCTAACCTCTTGAAATCGTGGTGGCTGCCCTTTGCTTCAAGGCATTTTTGTTGCCTTTCCTGACGTGCCTGGCTTTCCGAGGCATCTTCCAGCTTTTGACCTGGCATGAGCTTGACAGGCTCTTTGGTGGAAATGGTTGGATGGGTCTAAGCTTGATCTAACCAGAGTGGCTACCATTATGGTATACAGTTTCTATAGGACCGTTTGGTTTTAATTCAGTATATTCAAGATGATCTCTCATATATGTTCTATATAGTAATTTTCCATTGAATTCTGGTATCAATTTGGCGATGGGGTTTTCTACGTATGAAGCTTTTGCCAAAACACACAACCTTTTTCCACTGCAACATCACGCATGGTTGAAAGATTGATGGAGCCGTGAAGTCACATCTATCGAGTCTTGAATCCTGTATATGCACTGCTGTGTGCATCAGTTACACAAACGCTAAAGGTGCAAAGACACCATCATATGCACTCAACGGAGGAATCATCCTTCCCCAGATTGCTGCTTGGAAATTGAAACAATGATTTGGTGGGTTCATTAGGTATATACCCAAGTTCTTCAAATAAATCACCAATCCCGCCTTCCAGCATCATGGGGTTCTATATGAAGAAACATCGTTGTCAACATAGACGGGCGAAAACCCCAAAAGCCACAAACGTGTGCAATCACACAGTGAAGCCATCTCTTGCCACCACAGATGGAACATGGGATTGATTTTGGGGGCCATGTAGAAACCAATGAGATTCTGAGGTGTCTTCAACATATTTGAAATAAATTATATAAATCAAATCCATCACTTTTGAACTTGTAATCACATATACTTTGGGGATGGTGCCCTAAAATCACAATGGGAAAAAATTGAACCAAAAAGATGTATGTTTGGCCTCCAAATGTCTGAAAGAGCGGATGGCTCAGCTCAACTATAGAGCCATGTGTAAAGACACATTTGTTTCCCCAAATCAGGATTCGGCTTGGCTACTTTCAGCAGCTTGCCATGCATCCAAGGCTGCAGCGTGCGAGGCATGCAGCTGCTTCCGCAAGACCTTCAGGTCATCCGAGGAAGGGTCAGGATCCTCCTTCTTGAGTTCCTTCTCCAATTCATCAGCCTGCGAAGTGCAGGGAATGATGATAATTGTTTTGGTTCCCAAGTATAATTGTTGGACATGGTAAACCATGCAAGTAAAAAAACTCAACATTTAAGTATATCCATTTGACAGTGCAAAGCTTCAGTTTTGTTGAGCACGGTTATTTGCATATATATAAAGATTCTTAGATTTCACTTGCAGTTGATGAAAGTGTATATAGTGGTCTTATATTATACAGTGCTGCCTTGACTTTAATGTGTATATATCCTTTAGGTTTGAAATCCTGGCCCCACCAATCAAAAACAAGAAACATAGGCGCCAGCAAGAAGAATGTTGGTGTAGGCGCATGGCGTGTCATTGCCGAAGTAAGCAACCTGGGAACCTCGATCCTTTCTGGACTTGGACTTTGGATTTGCACTGCTGCTGCTCTTGCGTGGGTTCTTGACAAAGTGTCTCGGTATTAACACCCCAGCATGGTTCCTGGACCAGTAGGGCATGACATAGATCCCATTTCCCGGGTTGGGTTGCTCAAAGGACGGGTGGGTGCAATGTGAGCTCTTGCACTCTCGCAAAACGCCGAGGACCAAATCCCTCACCACTGGTTTCACTTGGATGTCCTCCTGTGGCTGAACACCTCTCCTGACTCGTTTTTCCTTGGTCTCATCCTCTCTTGCCTTTCGAGGCTGCCGCTTGCTTGCAGGCTTGTTTTCCTTGCCTTCTGCGTTGTCAGTCTTCTCTGTGATGGTCTTGCCCTTGGATTTTTTCTTTTCAGGCATGTGTTCTCCAGTCTTTTTCTGTCTCTTCGCAGTCTTCTTCTCCAACAAGTCTGACTCCTTTTTACCTTTCTTTGATGTCTTGTCTTCCTCCACCTGTTCCTTCACCGCCTTTGCCTTCTTGGCTCTGTTCTGCTTCTTATTGGCATCCTTCTTTCCAGCCAACTTCTTGATGCGCTTCATCTTGGGACTCTTCACTGGGAAAGTCTCCTTGCCATCCAAAGGAACCGTTGACTCCTTGAAGGGGGTATGTGGCAACTCATCAGGGTGAATGTTGACATCATCTTCCATTGACACTGGCTCATGCAAGGTAGGATCAACCATCTCAGGTTCGCTCTTCTTGGCGGCATCTTTCTCTTCTGGAGGCATGGTCTTCTTTGTCGATTTCACCTTTTTTTTCCATCACACGTAGACTTCTTCCAACCTTTCTCTTTCTCAGCCGCACTTCTTCCTGTCTTCTTGCTCTTGATCTTGCTTTCTTCTCCGGTAGTCTTCGAAGCTTTCTTGCTTTCTTTCTTCTTCTTCGAAGCTTCTGCCTTGGCAGCCTTTTTCTCTTCCTTTGCTTTCATCTTTTCAGCCTTTTCAGCTTCTTTCTTCAGTTTCTTCTCTTTCTTCTTATCTGCTAAGTCCTTTTTCATTCTGAACTGCGATCTGCGTGTGATCACTTCGTGGTCAGGGATGTGGATGGATTCCAGACCCTGCTTTTTCACCTGGATGGGGCGGTGCATTCAAAGCAGTATATAATCATGTATTTACATGCACCTTTTACTATATAGTAATCACCCATCAATTTTTAATATGTTGTATATAACGTTTCAAGACACAATACTGGTATCGAAAAAAAGAAATGGTTTCCATGTAGTTGTTTGAACTTAGTGAGCCTCTTCTCCAGTGGCACGGTCATGTTGATCCAAATCCCGTAAAGTGTTGAGAGCAGCATCCGTGGTCAAGAGCTGCGAAGGGGAACGCAGCATCAAGGTATCAACTTGGTCCCCACATGGCTCTTGTGGAAGTAAGGAATCTGACACCACTTGAATGGGTTGCTCTGTTCCAAGATGTAGTCCCAAACCTTGGTAAATTTGTGTTGTCAAACCGGATTCATCTTTATATATATGAAACCATGTGGAACAAATGAAGTAAAAACAACAGAGTGTTAGGTCCAAAGGTGGCCATAAATCATTATTCAAGGGCCAATACGATGGTATACCCAATCCCAAATTCACCGAAAAACGTTGGTTGTTGCGTTCCGTCTCCTCAGCAGCTTCGCGGCTTGCCTTTGCTTCTTCAGTCAACCTAAGCGATGTTGGGGTGAGCTTTGATATATGCGTATATAGAATGATTTACCCTATATCATAAAGCCTATTTGAGCTTTATATATAATGTTCTTGAGGATCCTTGGGGGTTAAGTTAATTTGGTCTTGGATACCAGTCCGACCATGCAGTAAAAACATGTTTGATCTAATCAGGTCAAAGCACTTCATGCTTTGGAAATCTTTGATGGCCTGGACAAAGACATCCATGTTCAACCCCGGTGGGATCTGGGATGATGATGATGCATGTTCTGCCTCCTCATCCGAAGAAATCACCAAAGCCGAGAGATCCTGCAAGATCTCATTATATAAGCGTTGTAGGAAAACAATATATGGTTTAAAAACATGTTCTACCCCTATTTTTTTTTGGAAACACATGTTTTTTAACACCCCATCCTCATGGGCACCAAGTGACCTTAAGGGGACACTCCCAGCAGGCTCCACACTTGGGGTATTAGTACCAGTTCGGCATGGAGTGGGAACTGGTGCAGCGGGTGGGAGAGCACCTTTCCCCTTGTCCAGCTTGGCTGCAGGCGGTCGCTCTGCGAGGAGCTGAGGCTGTTCAGGCTGGGGGAAAGGAATTGGAGGCAGTTGTTCCACCAAGGAATCCATGACTTGGTTCAAATGGGCTTCCACGTCTTTTGGTTGGGTATCCAAATTAAGCTCTTGGTACTGCTGCACCTCTTCTTGAATAGGAAGCTCATCGACCTCTTGGCTGTCCTCCATCAAAGAATCCGGTTCTTCCTGATCTCGGGCTGATGTGGGTCGCCATTCCTGGAGGGGTCGTTTAGGCATGGTCATACCACAGATGGTCACATCAATCCAATACACCCCAATGCAAATTCAAATAGGCCTTTTGGTTTGGTATATATAATTAACCATGGTACATTGCAATTCAAAAATATAGTGTTGGGAAACCAGGACTGGACCTTGAATTATTTGTATAACAATTGATGTATAGTGTGTATCAAGGCAGTTGGGTCAACATTTGAAACAAGGATTGAACTGCTCAAATTAATCCAGCCAGGGCCAGCATGTCAGAGGGTATATACGTGATGATGCCTATAGTTCAAATAAAAACCGCAAGAATATCACTTTAGATTTCCCATGGGGTATTTTAAAACCAGAACCATGTAGAGCTTTGAATGCAGCCTTTATATATATAGGGGTCATTGATGAATATGTGGCCCTGTACTCACAAGCCTCTGCGTCCGTGTTGAACCCCATAGCTTCCACCAGGTCGCTGATGACATCGTCCTTCAAAAACATTTATGGTTGAGGAGACCGGTGGGTTACTGTGAACTACTGGGGTTTATACAGTGGCGTATTGAAAAGCACCATCCGGAAACTATATATCATATATATTTGGACAGGATGTAGGATAGCAAGAATATTTAGACAGCAGATCCAAAACCAGTCCTGGGGGGGCGTAGCCCTATAGGTAAATTTTTTGAGTTTCGAAATCAGTCTCCGGATACTCCAACCTTCCTGGTAGCACTGATCACTGGTGCGACTCAATTTGGCAAGCACAAAGTAATTCTCCACAGCCGTGATCAGAGCATGAATCGATGGAAGTTGGCGGTCGTTCTCCTTCATCAGAACCACCAAAGGCTTGAGCACACTTGCATTCAACTTCAAGTTGCTGATGGTCGCATCAACAAAGGTTGATGTGGTTTGACCTGTTGACTCATTGTATGCTAAGCACAGGTTTTGATTCTCCCTCATCCGCTCCCGGACTGTGGGATCATTGTCCCACTGCAATGGGATGCCCTCCAAACTGAAGTCACCAACTCTAGACTTTGGGGATCTGGATGAACCAGGTGAATTATCCGATATCACATCCTGGACTGCCATGGCCCCCAACCCTTTCAATCTATACCACAGCCAAAATCCTCTGCGCAGGAGGGCGTTGACTGAGAGGTTGGGCCAGGCATGCATGGTTGTTGACAAGAGATATCCATGCTTGTCACCAGAGATCCTATAACATTGAAAAATATTCAACACAAGATGAACCATGATATATGAAAATAGAGCCTACATGGCCTTCAAATGCCTTCATCAAATATACTGATTTGATAGCATAATCCGCATTGTTTTACTGGCTGAAAACCAGCCATGACTGAAACTTGCATTGCACATGGTTGGACATGGCTGGGTCACCCAACCAACTATCCCACGTTCTTTCCCAAACATGGCAGGCGTACCCATCTTTCAAAGGCTTCCCATTTCAGCCAACGACATTGCTACCGGCAAGGGGTTGCACAAAGGCAACAGATGTTTTTGGAAAAATATGCTGTACTTAAGATGGTGAGGTCTTGTTAGACCTGTTGATATATACTATTGGCACTCTTCCTGAGCTTTCTGCACCTACGAGTACTTTAGGGATTTGAGGGAATATGCTTTCCATTTTCCAGTGAATATATATGGGACACAACTGCGTGAAACAAAGGTGCAACCATGTGCACAAACCGGTGATGTTAATCCACTTGCACACCTCGACTCATCCAGCTGAAAAGTGGCATAGCCTAAAGGCTGAAGGCGTGGCACCTGATGGCACTCATAAAGGGTTCTATGGGTATTCTGATGGAACCATTTCAATGGGGATGCCTGTTGTTCAGGGTGGTATGCCACCACAATCATTGAATTTATATATAATTGTTCATTGGGTTTATTCTGTGAAATAAGAATCCACTATTATTTGATCCCTTTTGCAGGTGAATCATTGGATCATGTTTGTGATGTGGATGGTTATTATATGAAGTGCTATATCAGCATATATAATTACACTGATTTGACATGTGTCAGAATGGTCTAAAATGCTTGAACGGTAATTTACGGCCCGGACAATAATTATAGCCCAAAAGCTTAATTAACTATCATTCAGGTTTTGGACAATGATTAGTATTATACAAGGTTAGCAGGTATATATATATACACAATATATATATATATATATATACACAATATATATATGTATGTGTGTGTGTATGTATCTAGTTTTAATGTATATGCATATATATATATATATATATATATATATGTGTGTGTGCTTAGTTCCCAATCCTGTTTAATGATGTTTAATGCATATGTATATATATATATATATTTTAATATATATATATATATACAAATCTCGATTCTTGTATATACAACATATCTTGATTGCATGTTTACGTGTATGTCAATGCTCAACATTTTGTGATGCACATGTGCTACTGTTCATCAGGTCTATGATATGTCGTGATGCTTCAAACGGCTGGCGTCAGCAACCAGTGTCCTGACCAAGGAAGGAGAAGACCGTGGGCCGATTGAAGAAGCATAATTTGAAGACCAACAGGCTGCCAGCTTTGCCAGAAACCTTTCAAGCACCAATAGAAATCTAATTAAGTATTAAGGGTGTGCCCCCGCAAAGCAAATACGGCAGGCCTTTAACGAAACGGTTGCTGTATTCGTTTTGTGAAAGAGGCTCCATACGCCAGCAGCTGTTGGGTGGGATACCTGCAGGGCACTGTTAGATCTCCATGAACTGAGTAAGCCTGGAAACTGAGGAGACCCAGCTCAGAATTTCCAACATGTTCTTCCAGATTTGTATGTATATATAAATATATACATAAACTTTGGATTCGTTTGGTCATTGTTTTAACTTGTGCTACTAGTATTCATGATGATATAGCTGATTTTATGATATCTGTTAAAGCATATAAAAACTATTTTGATGAGTTCCTCACCTCGGGACCAAATGCTGCTGCAGACGCGGTCGAGTGGTGTACAAGAAAATGTCGGATCAAGCGAAAGAGCGTGGGGCACCAAGCGGGGCCCTGGTTTTTGGGCAAGTTCTCAGACGTTGTCGGACCGCAGAACCTTGAGTTTTTCGGTTGGCGCCAAACAACAGGTGTTCGTTTTGTAATTTTCTTTTGCGAGCTGTCAACTGTTGGACTTATGGAAATTCCATCGCTTGATGCACGAATAGGGCAACGTAGTCCAACAAGCATACCTGTGGGGCCCTTTCCTGCACCCTGTGAGAAATCATAGTCGGAGTCCGAACTGGAGGATTTTCAGGCTTTACTGTCCCATGAGGTTTTGCAAATGATCTGGGGTCTCTGGAAATGGATTCTTGGGTCTTTCCAAATATTGGTGGAATTGAATTGTATTATAGGTACCTGCTTATTTCCCCTATCAACCAATTGATTGATTAAACGGTTATCATCTTTCCATTGGTTATTTAATATATCTATGTGTTTTCAAACATGTTCATGGATAATTATATGTGCATTTTTAGTTTCACTCTTAGGCAGCCAATTGGTTGATTAAATTGGTTTCATCCCAGTGTTGATTACGATTATTTGTTTCTATCATGTTCTTTGGATAAACAGGGGTCCACTACCATTTCCCTCAAAGGGTACCCGACCAATTGCTGGATTAAAATGGAATGGGTATCATCCCTTTATAGGGTATGTATGTACTAATTATATCCATTTG